AGAGTTCAGACTCTTCATCACTTTACTGTCCTGGCCAAGGTCACATTCATAGCTATTCAATGAGGTAAGCAGGATTAGAATGCAAATCAGCTCTCCAATCCTGGGCAGCCCAGGAGCTGGCCTGGAAGGCAAGGAGGCCTGAACTGGGGAGATCCTCTGCAGGACCTCCTCCCCAGGCAGCTCTGCTTTGCCGTGTCCCCCACCCCACCCCCACCCCGACCTCCGCCTCCCTCAGGAACCCGATCACATTCTGTCTTCCGCTGTAATTTCCTTCAGGGCGAACACTGAACCTTCTGCCACCCTTTTTTTTTAATAAAAAAAAAATATCAGTCTGGTGTAGAGAGAAGGATACAAGCTTTTGGAGCCAAACAACAATGCTTTGAATACCAATGCTGCTTACTCGCTGAAGGGGCTTGGCCATGTCACAGAACCTCTCTGAGCCTCAGTTTCCTCACAGGTAAAATGGGGATAATTCCTACCTAGCGTTGTTGTGAAGACTTGGGTACACGCACACGGAGTACCAAGCACACTGCCTGGCACATACTAGGTACTCTCTGAAGGGTGCTCTACCATCCTCAGCGCCAAGCTCAGTGCTAGGTTATTGTTTGCCTGATTTAATTCATCTCTGATTCTCCCACAGCACCTAGCATGGTGCTTTACGCAGAGTAGATGCTCCTATATATATGGCCGCCTGAATTGAAAACTGGAGAGAGCTAGAAAGGAGGAGCCACACAAAGCCGCATGATCACATGAGAGAGCTCTCCTCCCATAGGCCCTCTAAGCAGATCTGTGACTCTCCCATTGCCTCGCTCTCCTCAGAGGTCAAACTCAGTGGCAGCTTCTCCTAGAGAACTCACAGAAATGGGAGTTCGCAACATCAGAGGTTTCTAATGTAATCAGGCGGATAATGAAAAGGACGTCTTCCCCAAGCTTTGAGTGAGTCAGAGTTCTGTGCTTAGCTTTGCCCCAGGGAGTACCGAGAAAATAAAATATTGTCTGTATCCTCATGACACCTAAACAAACGGTCAATTCCATGGGTCAAATATCAGCCCGCCGTGTTAAGAGGCATCTCCAGTGAAGGACGGGAAGGAGCATTAGCAAAGGTTAGTGGGGTCCTGGTACGTGGCTGCTGTGAAGGCTAATACCTATTGGCCTTACGGTGGGATGTTGTTTTGTCCTCATGAAAGATACTGGTAAATGACAACACGTCTGAAATCTATGAGGATTTCGAAACTTGTGACTCGATAATCCCTTCCACATCCTGACACCTGAATCAAGACATAAGTTTTCATCAAGGTATCAAATAGTCTCACTCGTAACAAGTATAAACCGACTCTGAATCTCAGACTTGCTCTTTTTCTTTTCCTGGCCTTTTGCCACCATCGAAAAATGCCTGATAGGCTGCGTGTTCGCACTGCAGCTGGTGACTGTGATTATGTAGAAACCGACTCCATAAATTCAATGGTGTGTTGCTGGCTATTCCATAGCTGGTGAGATTGGTGCCCAGGGAAGTGGGACACGGGCTGCCATGATCCAAATGCAGGCTCGGAACTTACTCTTCACTCTGTCCCCGGGTTTCTCTCCCACCTCCCTGCCTTCGTGTTGATCGCCAGCTTTCCGACAACTTACTGGCATTCCCTTCCTCCTCCCACTCCCCCTTGGGAATAAACCAGTTCAAAAGAAGCACCATCGTCCTAGACTTGAAGCTACGTGAGAATGGTGGGAACCGAGTGTGCAACACTTCACTCCTCCCACCATTGTGGACGGTGTGTGGGCGAAGGGGCAGCAAGTTTGCCTTCAGAGGCCACTTTATCCAGCAAGGGAAGCCTTGATCACCTAGAGCTAGAAGACCTCAAAAGACCATCTGGCCCAGCCCCCATCTCCAGACAGATTCGTGGCCGAAGCTACCCAGGACCAAGGACAATCTTCCCTTTTCATAAGGACCCTTGGCAGAGGCTGTCCACACTGTCCCCGTCTCACACCCCAATGTGTAAGTCATGAGTAGCTGACAGACAGGACAGAGGCGGGAGCACTGCTCTGTGGGCCAGGGAAACTGGTTCACAACCAGCTCTGCAGCTGACTAGCTGTGGGAGCTTACCGATTCCCTCTGCCTCCTGGACCACCTCCAAAATGGGGAGATGGGCAAGCGAGGGTTCTAATGGCTCTTTAAGCGCTAACTCACTATAAACCTGTGAATCTCTTATGTTAAAATCTTCAAAAACAACTTAAGCCTGTCTTATTGAAAAAAAAAAATTATTTTCAGAGATGTCTCTACCACAGATATCTTAATCTCAGGGGACCTCTTGAAATTGTGTATTCGGTGCATTTTGGGGAGTCTGTGCATTTTGGTAGAAGACTAAAACCTCAGATAGGTGTGTGACAACCAACTGCCCCACCCCACCCCCCCAAAAAAAAACTAAACTAAAAATAGGTTCAGAGTCTTCTTCTAGGTTGAGGAGCTTAAATGTAAATCACCCTGAGTGACTTCCTGGTTCCCAGGTCTGAATATCAGGTTATAGTGATTCCCAAGGGAAGGGGTAGGGAACCCTAAATGCAGGTTTCTGGGTAGGAGTAAAAGAAGACATTACTAGGCTGTACTTTTCTCTCTCTGGCTGTCACTACCCATTGCTCTGCCACACGTCTACTAGCCACATGACCTCAAGAATATACATACGCTCTCTGAATCATGATTTTCTCATCTGCCAATGGAGAATGGCTATGCTGCTCTCAAAAGGTTGTTGTGAAGAATTTAAAAATGAGTAAATGCTTGGCTATCGGTAAGGAGCTCAAGTTAGTAGCTCAGGGTTTCAAAACTGACTACTTGGAAGACAATAATAATCAATCTATAATAATCAATCTGCCCCTTCTTCAAATTTAAATTGGTACAGTCACTATAGAAAACAGTATGGAGGTTCCTCAAAAAGTTAAAAATAGAACTATAGTATCATTCAGAGATCCCACTTCTGGATATGTATCCAAAGCAAATGAAAATAGGATCTCAGAGGGATAACTGCATTCCATGTTCATTGCAGCATTATTCACAATACACAAGACATGGAAACAGCCTAAGTGTCCATCAACCAATGGATGAATAAAGATGTAATACACACACACACACACACACACACACACACACACACTAGGATATTACCCAGCCATGAGAAAAAAAGGAAATCCTGCCATTTGCAACAATATGGATGAAACTTAAGGATGTTATGCAAGGTGAGATAAGTCAGACAGAGAAAGACAAATACTGAATGATCTCACCTCTATGTGGAACCTAAAAGAGCTGAACTCATAGAAACAGAGTTGAGTGGTGGTCACCAAGGGTTGGGGGAATGGACTAGAAAGTTGTTGGTCAAAGGGTATAAAACTTGCAGTTATATGAGTAAGTCCTGGCGATCTAGTGTACAGCATGGGGATTATAGTTAATAACACTGTATTATTATATGCTTGAAAGTTTCTAAGAGAGTAGATCTTAACAGTTCTCACCACAAAAAAGAAATGGTACTCATGTGATATGATTGTGATGGTGATGGAAGTTATTTGCTAACTTTATCATAGTAATCATTTTACAATGTGTAAGTGTATCAAATCAACATGGTATATACCTTGGGGCCGGCCGAGTGGCTCAGTTGGTTAAGAGCTCGCACAAGAGTGCGAGCTCAGCAACAGCAGTTTGATGCCCCGCCTGAGCTGAGCTACCGCCGAGCTGCCAACAGGTGGCAGGATGGCTCAGCTAAAAAAAAAAAAACATGTTAAATACCTTAAATTTACACAATGTTATATGTCAATTATATCTCAATAAATTGGGGGGGGGGAGTTCACTCCCTACCTTGATTCTGGGGGAAAGGTGTGACTCAGCAGCTAAGTCAGTGGTCAACTTTGGATAGACCCACAGTTGGGTTCCAGTCCCAGCTCCTCTCCTTGATGGCTGTGCGGACTTGGGCAAAGAGTTAAAGTTCGCTGTACCTTGGTGTTTCAGCCACAAAATGGAAAGAATGATGAGAATAGTCCTTTCATAAGGTCGTGAGAAGGTGCAAAGAGTACTTAACTTAGCACACTGTCTGGGACATACCAAGTGCTGGAGAAATCTTAACAACATCAGGCACTCCCTCGGCGTCTTTCGGCCCATATCTTCTCTCCTAAGTACCAGTCACCCACCTTTGGGGGTGTGTCCCTATAGCTGCACCTCCAACATGCGTATCAGGCAGAAGAGGGGGAGGGGGGAATCAACAAATAATCCAGATTTCCTAAGTCCCTTCCCCCGACGCCTGGAAGTCTCTTGCTCCCACACCCCCACCTCTGCCACCCTCGCCCCCAGATGGCCCACGGGCTTGTTACTCATTTCTTTCAAGGTCTTGATTCAAATATCACTTCAGTGACATCAAGCACCCGTTTAAAATTTTAAATGCCCCTTTCCCCTCCCCTCCCCCCCCACACACACCATTTCCCTCTCCTTGCTTTATTCTCTCTGTTATACCCATAGGCATAGGACACGCCTCAGAATGTGCTCACTTATTTTATTGTCTGTCTCCTCCCACCAGAATGTAAGCTCCTGGAAGACAGGGATCTCTGTCCGCTTGCTTCACCTGCTATGCCCACAGCACCTAGAACAGGACCCAGGACAGACAGTGGGAACGCGGTTAACAATCTGTTGAATAAATGTGAATGAGTGTCCCAGTGAGTGAGTGAGTGAGAGTGAGTGAGTGAGTGCAGCCTTATTTTTATTTTCACAGGGAGGTAAAGGATTAGGGTTGGTCTCAGATATAACTCAAAGCCCTCTCATCTGCCTAACCTTGGAATTCTTTTTCTTTTAGGTACCGCACAAGTTGCATATGCCCCTGAATCCGTGGGCTGACTCCAAACGACCCCCTGATTAGAGGTAAGCACCCCCACCCCGCTTTTGAAAGTGAAGAGTGAATATAGGCGGAGAAAGGATCCCAGCCACTTTGGGGTGGGGGACAGGGGGATCCCCATGCTCAGGTGACTCTTCCTACCTCCTTCCACAAGGCTTGCCCTGGGGTGGCTGGGGCGCGGCCGGCCTGTGGCTGACCAGGGTGGCGGCGTCGGGGCTGGTGGCGCCTTCGCTGGACCCGCATTGCCCCCTAGTGCCGCGCGGAGTCAGGGCGCCGGGCTCCCCCGCCTGATGTCACCGCCGTGCAGTCAGCCCAGAGGCGGCTCATTGAAAGCAGACCCTCCTCGGCGCTGGCTGAGCAGAGGCGCCGCTGTCCGCAGACCTGCTGCGGGCCGGGCTGAGCCGGGCGCCCCCAGCCCGCCGCTCCTCCTCCCGCCGCTCCCCCGCGAGCCCGGCCCGAGCGCCTGACGTGGACCATTAACTTGGAGCTGCCGCCTCGTCCCCTCTCTCCTCCCTCTGACAGGCGAGCGCGCGGCGCGGTGCAGGAGACGTGCTGCCGGGCTGGGCTGTTGGAGGAGATGACCCCTCGCCAGCAGGGCACCGCAGGGACAGAGACCACCACGGGGGAGGCAAAGTTTCGGGGCAGCTGAGGAGCCTTCGCTGCAGCCCTTCCAGCCCTATCCACCCCCTGGCTATGGAGGGCGGACTCTAAAATGAATCCCGATCTGGACACCGGCCACAACACATCAGCACCTGGCCACTGGGGAGAGTTGAAAAATGCCAACTTCACTGGCCCCAACCAGACCGCGAGCAACTCCACACTGCCCCAGCTGGACATCACCAGGGCCATCTCCGTGGGCCTGGTGCTGGGCGCCTTCATCCTCTTTGCCATCGTGGGCAACATCTTAGTCATCTTGTCTGTGGCCTGCAACCGTCACCTGCGGACGCCCACCAACTACTTCATCGTCAACCTGGCGATTGCCGACCTGCTGCTAAGCTTCACCGTGCTGCCCTTCTCGGCTGCCCTGGAGGTGCTGGGCTACTGGGTGCTGGGCCGCATCTTCTGCGATATCTGGGCCGCCGTGGACGTCCTGTGCTGCACCGCCTCCATCCTGAGCCTGTGCGCCATCTCCATCGATCGCTACATCGGGGTGCGCTACTCTCTGCAGTACCCCACGCTGGTCACCCGGAGGAAGGCCATCTTGGCCCTCCTCAGCGTCTGGGTCTTGTCCACGGTCATCTCCATTGGGCCTCTCCTTGGGTGGAAGGAGCCGGCGCCCAAGGATGACAAGGAGTGCGGGGTCACGGAAGAACCCTTCTACGCCCTCTTCTCCTCGCTGGGCTCCTTCTATATCCCTCTGGCGGTCATTCTGGTCATGTACTGCCGCGTCTACATCGTTGCCAAGAGGACCACCAAGAACCTGGAGGCCGGGGTCATGAGGGAGATGTCCAACTCCAAGGAGCTGACCCTGAGGATTCACTCCAAGAACTTTCACGAGGACACCCTCAGCAGCACCAAGGCCAAGGGCCACAACCCCCGGAGTTCCATAGCTGTCAAACTTTTTAAGTTCTCCAGGGAAAAGAAAGCCGCCAAGACCTTGGGCATAGTGGTCGGTATGTTCATCTTGTGCTGGCTCCCCTTCTTCATCGCTCTGCCGCTCGGTAAGTTGGGGACTGGTTGGAGGGGGAGGAGGGGGGCCCTGGGCGGTTTCCCATCTTGGGTTTACTGGTGAGCTCGCCGTAAAGTTTTTTTTGTGGGTTTCGTTCTTTTCTATGCACTCTGTGTGTGTTTAGAGATTGTAGAATATTATTTGTTCTGCAAAGGCTTTGCAGATTGGGTCGCTGGCTAAGAACCAACTCAGGTGATAGTGGAACATGCTAAGGTACTAGTCACTCGAAATAGAAACACGGGAGGAAAATCTGGTATGCAGAAATGACTCATGCAACAGCCTTAGTTTAATAATTTAAAAGGCCACTGGACTTGCACATCACACCAGCGTGATTTCAGTAGTAATGATGTGCCAGCTAAGGCAGCGTCACGAATGCAGCATACAAAGTAGTTTGTAGTTACCGCAGACGCGGCATTTGGGAAGCAGGGAGCTTGTACACAGAAAGGCAGTTTTCATTCAGCATTTCCAGGGCGCTTGCAGAGGCTGCGTTCTTCCCCTCCTCCCTTCACCACTTGCTGTCACCTCGGTGCAATCCCTTCATTTTAAGTTAATAAGTGCATTTTACAGCCACAGTACCCCAACTAGCCTTTAAGTTAGCCAAAGCCTGAGGTTGGAAAAACAGAGAAGATAACCAGAAGGTTACACATTCTCAATTTTCACCCCCAAATGTTCCTACTCTGGTGATTTATGAAATGCCCAGAATTAAATTACAGTTATCCCTCACCTTCAGCTGCCAGGCACCAGATCCTGCTAGGATGAAATTAAGTCCCTCCCCTCCTATAAAAAACGTGTCCATCTTCCTGTGTTAGGTGGTCCTAATGAGTTGTTCAAAAGGTTACCTGACTGATTTCTTCTAGGAAAGAAAGGGTCTGGTTAGGAGGCAAATCTAGAGGAGGGTACATGATGGTGATCTGCTGTCTGCATGGCTTGGGAAACACCTGTCCCTCCTCTGAGGCACTGATCTGCTTTGATGTCGTCTCCTATCCCTGGGGGACACTCCAGAAAATGAATGGAGGGAGGTGATCGTAGCATGGTCATGTGCCGTAATATCAGGAGAGGTATACCGGCTGCTACGTGCATGGACCGCACACACCCTCCATCCACCCCAGGGGCTCGGTTAGAACCCAGCCCAACCAAATTCCTCAAGTAACTACAATTCTGAAGACACACTGCTTTCAAGAGAAAGGGGCAAATGGGGGGAAACAAAGCAAACTGATGTCAGGAGTCTCCATTTAAAAAAGATAAAGACAAAAAAAAAAAAAAGGCTGTTTAACCTGCTCACCATTTTGTCGTTTCTAAGGCAGGCTAATGCCTGTGGGAAATATTTTTAGTGTTAAGTGGAAAGGTTTTGAAGCTCTGCCCCTCCAGGAGTGATCACATCCCACTGCAGAGAAGCCTTCTTTTCTTTCCCAAGGTCTCAGGGGCCTTTTGCAGGCCTGTTGGGTTAAAGTGGATGACAGTTCACACTGTATTGGATCATACAAAGATCATGGTTGTACGTTGAACTGATTTGGCTACTTGTTAGCTAAGTGACCTTGTGGGCCTCCGTTTCTTCGTCTGTAAAATAGAGCTAATTACTATTTGCTCCATGGAGTTTGCACGAATGCATGGAAAGGACTTAATACAATGTCTGGTGCATAGCAAATGCTCGAGGAAAGTTAGCCATTAGTACTACAAGCCAACACCCCCACACACACCCCCGGCTATAACTCTGTGTTTTCTCCTTCTTTACTCATTTGCCAAACCCACACCTGTTCCTAAAGGCTCAGGAGAGAGCTGAGCCTTTCTTCCTCCTGCACCTGCCCACTGGCCTGCAGAGGCTGCATGACCAGAGTATCCTCAGGAAGGAGGAACCACTCCAAATAGGTGACAAGGCTGCCAGCGTGTCGAAATGGAAACAGCACTGCTCTGGGGGTCAGGAGCAATCCTGGGCGATCTTTGCCATCAGTCAGCTCTGTGCCCTTAGGCTTGTTGCTTTACCTCCCTGGGCTTCAGATCTCACTTCCAAAGAACCAGAAGGTTGGGCTAGATCAAGGGCTCTCAAACTTTAGTAAGGATCAGACTCATCTGTGGAACCTGAGAAACATTCAGCCCCTTGGGCCTGCCCCATAGAGACCCTGACTCGGTAGACCAGATGGACCCCAGGTGATCCTGAAGAGATGGTGTACAGACCAGGCTTTGAGAATCGATGGTCAGAGGACCTCTCAGCTTCCTTCAGGCTCCAGCCTCCTGGATGCCACGGTTTAAAATGCTGCAAAGCTTAGCCCTTCCCCAGTCACGCAGTGGTGCAGGATGATGTGGCTTCTCTCTGGGTCCTGCTGGTCAGGCCCACTCTCAGTTTCTTCTCACTCACACTCTCTCCACTTTCCCCTCTTTCTGTGTATGTCTTCCTGAGACCTCATCCCCCTAACCTCCCAGGGCCTTGGCTTCCACGCCATAGAAAGGAAGGCGTTCTTGCCACCATGTTGGTATCAGAGCTTGTTTCTCCTCTCTTTGCCATGAAAACTTTCTGAGAACCCATGCTGTTGTCTCCTGGAGATGTCCCACTGTGCTCTCCCAGAGCCAACCCCACCCCTACCCTTCTCCCCTGGAAACCCAAGCCTTGGCAGGTGAGGAATATGGACTCGAGGCCTTGGGTTGGGGACGGACTCCAAGAGGTACAGAAGAGCTTCCAACTGAGAAGGTGCTTGATTAACGTGCTCTTCATAGTTTAGCAAGAGCATCCAAGCAAAGCCAAGGTGTAGGCTTCTACTTCCTGCGAGTTCAAATAACACCCAAATACAACTAGCATGATGTAGAACAAAATAACTCCTTTGGAATCTGAAGAACATTCCAAATTCTAAATTTTCCATGAAAGACTTTTTACTCATAAGAGGGAAAAGCAGATGTGGGAGAGACAGTGGTTGGAGAACGGAAGTGCAGGTAGATGTAACTTCCAGTTGGCGATGGACTTCCAGGGGCCTGGATGGCTGGAGATTTCCATTGCCCTGTTTGTCTTCTCTGTGGGAGAGAAGGGTTGGGATTCCTCCTAGGAAGGAGGGAAAACAGCCGTGCCCCCTGCAGGGTCCTGCCAGGGGCTCCATTTGTTTACCTTCTTCCCTTATTCTTATTTTTGGGAGCAGGGTTGGGCAGCCTGCAGAGGGGGGCCTCTGGTCTCCTGTGGAGCCCTCCCCACCTGTTACACCCTCCCTACCGTCCTCCCCACCCTTTCCCTGTGGCCTCAGACCAAGTTGGGCCAGGGACCAGCTCTCACTTACTCGGTAGCAGGGATGGACTTCACCAAACAAGGACCTCTTTATTCAGCCCCTGGAAGGAGGCCATGGAGGGACAGGAAATAATTGGAATATAATATAGTGGCACTTCTACTCGATGGGCCATGTGCAAGATGTCCACGGACGCTTCAGCTGCCTGGCATTGTAATGAAGGCCAGCTCCCACCCGGCCGGGGAAGGCCTGGTCAGGGTCTCAGCAAGAGGCTGCTGGGCTATTGAAGGGGGTGCATTGCACTGGGGGGGAGAGATGGGGGAGGGGGGTAGTAGGAAGTGCTGGGAAG